TCAAAAATTCTCTTTATATTACTTAAGTGAGGCTGTCTAGATTTTCTTTTTTTTTTAGTAAGGCATTGTTCTATTTGCCATCATAATTTTTGATGTGTCAATATCAAAATTTCATTTGATTATCAAATATTAGATTTGTAAGAAAGGACTAAAAACTGGCTATTTTTAAATTATGTGGAAAATAACCTTTTTTATTTTATTTTTTCTTATTACTACTGATAAATAGTAAAAATTTGCACTAAACATAGTTTAATAAAGAAATAATTATTAAAAAAACATCTAACAAAATGATGATTGTATCAAAAGTTAAAAAAGTTTTCACTTATGCATAAGACATTCTGTATGTATTTCCAATTTATCAATTGAGAAATTGACTAAAAAATTTTTCATGTTTATTCCTTATAGCTAATTAAAATGCCCACTATAATATTTGAAATGGAAACATACATAATTAACTATCATATTTATTTGATAATGATCTAATTATTAAAATTACTGGTCGATAACAACTTACGTATTTCGAGTGTTATTGACAGTTTTATACCATTTCGGGAGAAAGAGTACGACTGGGAAATGATAAATAATAAAAATAACAATCGCACCTCATTTTTAATAATTTATTCAAATTGTTAATAACTTCTGAAATTTTGATTCAGATTATTATCGACCAGTAATTTTCTTAATAAAAATATTATCTAATAAATAAGGTAATTAATTACAATTGATAAGTCAAGATACATATTAACCTAAAAAATCCTATAAAGAATTTTCTTAACATAATTATTACTTCAAAAGAAATTGAGTGAATATGAGTAGCTATCCAATGACTATTAAAAAAATCACCCTGAATTTCATTAGCTCATATTGTCGTAAGTCATCGGATAGTTAGAGCATATTTTTTTGCAAAAAGCAACCCATTTCGTGGATTGACCTGCAAAATATTTAACGAAATCACTTAAATATTTTTTTTGTAAAAGACAGTTAAATGGGGTATTAACCCCCACCATTATATAGAATTATACCAATCAACTTAAAATATAGACAAGTAAATAAAAAAATTGAAAAAAAATTATAACAATACAAAAAACAATGACTTTTTACACCAAAATATTATTTTTTGTATAACTTCAGAAGCCGTTTACAAATAGAAGATAAGTCGTCGGGACAAATAGGATATTTATATAAGAAAAATTTGTTTTAATTTATTCATTAAAAAAAAAACATAATAACAATTTCAAGAAAAATAAGTTTCAAAAATGTTGAAATTGTGATTTTAAAAATCACAAGTTTTTTAGGAATGTTCGTCTTTTACAAGGAAATTATTTTTTTTTAATTTTCAAGGGCAATGTCATCAACTAGATACGATTTGTGATCTTTAAATGTATCATTAAAAGAAATCTAATGTAAGCGCTGAGAAAAAGTGGCGACAGACATAAAAAAACGCATCATAGTAATATTAATACATTCTCAGATTCCCATCGAAGCTAAAATATACATTATTTACATATTTATATTATCATTATAATGTATTTAAATTTTTATCGTATCAATAATTATCTTCCAAGTATTGTTATATTATATGTTAAATTTTACAAAACAAGACAGTAAAAATATTATACTGGAATAAGATTGTTAAGAAATTTTTTTTGTGTTGTTTTTAATGTTTCATAAATTTATTTGTATTTTATAAGAAATTGTCTGTATTTTAGATTCAATACGAAGCTGAGAAGGTATTAGTTTTGTAATGGTGTGTATATTTTTTCATCGCTGTTCATGAAAATTTTTAGCTCTCACTGGACTAATTTCAATGATCAATACATTAAATGAATCCAATTTTAATATAATTGAATTCGGAAGCACTAAAAATTTGAAAAAACTTCCTCATTTTTAGAAATTTAAAAATATATTTCAAAATTTTGTTATGGTAAAAAGTATCATTTTAAAATATTTTCTGTAATTTAAAACTGATGAAACCTTTTTTTTTAACACTAATCCAAAAAAGACATTTTACTTGAGTAAATTAGAGATAGTAAGCTTTCTTTTGGTTTGCGGTTTATAAAAATCCAATGGAAAACATAAGTACAGTAAAGGTTTAAAAAGTACATTAACGCATATATAAAAAAAAATTTTCATCATGATTTTTAAAAAATTTTCAGAAGGTCTGGCTGAAAAAATACATCATATTAAATTTTATCTTTCAACGTCAAAGCTAAAACAAATAAATCAACAAAGTATTTCAGATTGAGGTTATTCATTTTTTTGTCTCTATAAACTGATGTTAACTATGAGGAATTGTAAGGTTAGTAATTAGTTATGAAATAAATTGAATTATTAATAATGCATAACGAAATAACTTATAATGGGTAAGAAAATTTATTAAAAGAAATAACAGTTTTCAAAATATTACTCATATACTAGANTCTTTCAACGTCAAATCTAAAACAAATAAATAAAAAAAATATTTCTGAAGAGGTTATTCATTTTTTTGTCTCAGTAAACTGATGTTAACTATGAGGAATTGTAAGGTTAGTAATTAGTTATAAAATAAATTGAATTATTAATAATGCATAACGAAATAACTTATAATAGGTAAGAAAATTTATTAAAAGAAATAACAGTTTTCCTAATATTACTCATATATTTAGAATTCATTCGTTTTTACAATAAATAATTTTCTGTAAAACAATTCACAAATAATTCAATTAATTATTTGATCGTTTTATGATTTAATAAAATTATTCTATTATAACAGTAATAAAGTAGTAAAAATTAGTACACCAGAAATACAAGAAAATATTGTTTGCTAAATACTCAAAAGATTTTTTTTGGTGCGTAAATATATAAAATGCAATTTCGATTTCATGAAAATATAAATGGGGAAGTTAATATTTGTGTGCCCATAAATCGAATTTTGTTTCCATATACATAATATATATGATGCGTAAGTCGTTAACAATGCACAGATCTAAAAAACAAACGAATAATAAGGTACAAAAATAAAAAGTAATGAAATTCTGATGAAATCCAGTATTGCGTTTATCATAAACATAATATGGTTGAATAAAAATGGGGAGTGGTAAATTATATGTTAATCTTTTATTAGTCTATGTCAGCGAGACAAAATAAATGGGTAAATTAAAATTGACTTTTGTGTAAAAATGACTACACTCAAAATGTTTTAATTTATTGTCTATGGATTAAAAAACATTTTAACAACTTAAAATTTGGTTAATAACGACTAAGAAACTTTATTAATGCGTATATAGTTTAATTAATTATAATTTGTATTATAGTATTTTTTACTTTAAATAACCTGTATATTATAAATATAATATATTTTTTTACTACGTTCTCAATTATTAATAAAGTATACAGTAATACATCTTTTTAGAGGCATATTTTAACAAAATCTTCAACCTTAGAATATATGATATCATGTAAAAAAAAGACAAAAAGTACATTTATGGTAATAAATGATAACATATTACACACAATCCTAGTGGTAAATATAAAACAACAATGTTGAATTATTCCCATGTGTTGCAGAACCAGCATTAATATTCGTTTAACATTAAGTAAAATAATACCATTAAATTTGAATTGTTAGAATTTTGTGAATAATTATAAGTTTTCCTACAAAAATTGGTAATTTTTAAACAAAGATCTAAAAGTTTATTTTCTATTATTCTATTTGCAAACAAAATAACTGCTTGTTTATCTGAAGATTGTTTGGGATATAATACTAAGCTACCAGTGCACGGTTTCTAATCGTATGATCAAATCATTTTATTTTTAGTTAAGTAAACAAGCTAATTTGGAAAACGTGGCAATAAAAAAATTAATTAAACAGTGAGTTTTGATTTCGAATATAACTTTGCAACCTATAAATGGCGTGTCGCAAACGATTGTAGCATAATCACAAAAAATATTTGATTTTATGACTTATAAAGCTACATAAACTGCAATATTATTAAATGAATATACTTAATGACTCCTATCTTCAAGTAATAGTATCTTCATAAAAATCAGAGAATTTTTGAAAAAAAATAATGCCTATTTTAGAAAACTTAATAAATTTCCTCTGAGTATTATTTTTATTTAAAAAATAATCACATCAATACAACAATAGTTCTTAGAATAGGTTAGAAACATGACAGCACTTCTGTATAGGCAAAACGTTAGCTTGCACGTTGTTTAAGTAGCAAAGAAAGTTTTATGAATTTTAGTAAAATAGTATCTTTTGTAATCCGCATAAATAGTAAATATAAATATATATATATAATAGGTAAATAGTAAATATAAACAGCAGCTTAAGTTAGTGTAATGCTAAATATTTTATTAGAATAAGGAGTTAGCCCAAAAGTCACTGTGGGAAAACATAAATCTTCGACCAAATATCAGTGTAGTTATGAATGATTATGTTGACATGACGTATATTAATTGTCGGAAACCAAGATGTTTTCGACGTGCACGCTTGTATAATGAAAAAAAATGTTTTTCTCTTTATAACTCTCGAGAAAGCGTTCTTGGTGACAAGTAGGGAGGGTTTAGCAGCAACACAAGTCATACAATAAAACATTAATGAGGAACTGCAGTATAATTTTGACAGTAAAAGTTACTATTGTGCATATTTTTCCTTATGGAAATTGCAAGAAAACGAATTACAATTTTGTAATTTATTATTCAATACTATCAGTGTTCAATAAAATATCAATACTGTAACTTACAAATGTGTTAATTAATAAGTTAAAACATTATTTTATGCGCGCAATCTAAAACTGATTAAAAATGAATACATTTTTGTTGATACTTATGATTACTCAATCTGTGTACCAATTTAGTGTAGCTAAGCCTTATAGAGTTCAAACTATTAGATTGGATTTTAACGAACGTATCTCAGGAGGGTAAGTGGAATCAATTAACGGGGATTTGTCGGATACTACAAATAAACCTATATTACATTTTCAATCCCTATACATATAATATTAAGAAAAACTTACCACTTCGATTTTCGCTGTCAGCCGGTTTCATTTGAATTGGATGGTGCATCTAAAACGATTAAATTTCGAAATTAAATTCAATTAATAATAATTACAAAATGCTTAATATTAAATCCCACTGTGACCACAAAAATAATCAAGTACACACGAGTAACATGTTCTATTATTAACATTACCAAATATCATAATGAGCATTAAATATATTATTTCTACGTACAAAATATTGCTTATTTAAAATTATACTTAGTTAAGTTATGTTATACATAGTTAAAATGCATGTCAGTGTAGGTTCATTAAAGAAAAGTTGCAAACGTAAATGCAAAATATGTATACACGTGGTAAAATTAACAAGTTTCTAATATCAATCATTCCATTGGCTTTATCAACGTTTATTTATTTCTCGTTTTGACTGTATTATTTCTCTTGGGAACTTATACATACAACCATTGTTTTTTCTTTAAAAAAAGTACCATGTGCGATTGAGACTGGTAACTCTCAAAGGAGTAAAGCTCCAACAAAATAAGCGGAGAAAACCGTCAGTAGAGTATAATAATTGAATTGTGGCTAGATATAACAACAATGTACCGGGATGTATATAAATATATTGAAAGTACTGAGAAAGAATCTACAAAACTGGCAAATATTTCGAATGGGATTTAACTATTCTAAAAACATCTAAAAAAATGATTTATTCGTCATTTTATTAGACCAACGTCAAAATATATTAATTTTATTCGATTTAATCCATAAAAATATTTATTTACTAAATTGTTGATTTAAATAATATTTTATAAAAGTTGTAAAACATAAAAAATAATTAATTTTTAATCCAATAGTACTTGGCTTATTTATATTTTCATGGAGATTATTTTGATACCACTAAAATGTTTCTAAATACTATAGCTGTTATAAATATAATTCTACTTATTCAAATTTTGTTCAAATAAAATTTTTTTTGCTGGTTACCATAATACTGTGATCCACCTGCAATTCTCAATGTTAAATGACGAAATCATTTAACGACGATTTATGTAGTAATCGAGAAACTTTCGTCTACATTATAGTAAGTTTTTCTAGGTTATATGCTAATTTTTGGCCCTTTTTTGTATAATTTATTACACTTTAATGTTCTCCGTACATATGGGTTCAACGTAAGGTATGGGCAAGAATAACTACTTTCGTTATACAACAGTCAACGAAAATTTCAAGTTTTGTTTTGATAAATTTTTATCATCCAACTTTATTTATCGACCAGTTTTTGTGTTTCCGGTCGGTTGAGCTTCAAAAATTACAAAAACAATATAATTCCAGCATTAACGGTGTCCCCTCTAACATGAAAGTTTTCGCAGCCACGAAAAGCGTAATTAATCTTCCTTTAATTGATTTAAAATTGTTTGGAATTTAAGGGCATAGATATCGCAGCCAGAGAATTAAAAGTTTTAATTTTCCGCAGAGAATTGCGTAGGATTTAGAAGAGAAATGAAAAGTAAGGAAAAATGATAATTCAACAATAAACAATATTAATACATCACACAAATATATGAGAAATTATAATGCGCATTACATTATCTTGTAAGAAAGACGAACAAAAGAAAAATAGACCGTTTTGGAAAATTAATGTCCATTTTAAATGAAAATAATGTGCAAATTCTTACTCCTGGTAACGTTTTGATGTTGTGTAAAGCATTCTGAGCGTCCAACGCAGCCTTACGCGTGAAATACGTGACAAAACAGCATCCTGTAAAATAAAAGATAATACATTCGTTAAATTATTTTCTGTTTAATGCTAATAGTATAATTTGTACAAATCTATTGACGGTTTTATAATATGTATATTATATAATTCTTTAGTAATTGACAGCAGGTCATGATCGACACAGTTTTCATACTAATTGTAAATACAATATATATATATTTTATTGCTTTTTAAGAATAAATATACGCAATTATTTCGTAAGTATTTTCGTTTAAATATAAACAGAGACTTTATGTATGACAAAATCCATCGGTATCACGATTGTTTAGATAGTATCAAAAGAGAGAATCCGTCGAGATAAATCTTCAAATCGTTTTTCTAATAGCTCTTCCTTCCGCACTAAAAATATTTATAAAATCTCCCCAACAATCTTTACACAAATGAATTTATTACATTCGTTACGCCTCGATAGTACTTCCTACTCTTCGTGAATTCTGTCTATAGCTAAAGGTCATCAAACTATTTTTTTTTTTTTAGTAGAGCTACCTATACGACAAATTTTTATTTCACTTATCTGAAGATTACTCGGCAACAAAAGATCTTTAAATAATTATACTTCATCAAAAGACGTCTAGTTTAAAATCGCTCCTTTCTTTTAAAAAAAATATTTATTTTATCAATAAATACTTATCTAAGCAATTAAAACATACTTTTTCAAAACACTAGAAATCCTTTAATCTATAGTATTTAAGCGTTTAATTTTTATCTCGAGTTTGCTTTATACTTAAGCAAAACAATGAATCTTACTAAAAATGTCTGTGGTCCTTAAATTAATACTTCTTTAGAGGAATAAGCATATAAAATAGTTGAAACTGATTATGTACCATAAGTATGACAAAATTAAAACAGATCTAAGGAATTATTTTCTTATTATAAAAATGTAAAATAAATAAAAGCTTTTTGAAAAATCGTATTCTTTCT